AATAATTTCTGACAGGTGGCAACAAAGCCTCTGGCTCTAACAAAACAACCTTTTTTCTGAAAAATGGGAGCAAATGGCCCGAATTTGCAGAAAAAAATAGCCACATGGGCTGAGTGGTCATGGGCCTGGCCTCACAGACAGTTAGGTTTGGGCCCCCACTCTTTTTTTTTTTTTTTTTGCATTTTTTATTTTTTGTAGAGATGGGATCTTGCTCTGTTGCTCAGACTGGTCTTGAACTCCTGGGCTCAAGTGATCCTCCCACTCGGTCTCCCAAAGTACTGGGATTACAGGCGTGAGCCCAGCCTGGCCCCTACCTTTAAGCAGCCATGACTGTCACTCTTTGAGTAGCACCATTGGGATGAACAGAAGAGTCTTCAGGTGCGACCTTCGACCTGCCACTTGCTTCTCCTCCTTCTCTCCTCCCTCTGTCCCCGCCATCCCACTGCTTCTTGTGGCCTCAACTGCCCATTGTGCCTTCTGGCCTATAAGTAGTGGCTCACTCCTGACCCCTCTTCCCTCCATCTCTCCCTCCAGAACATAGACACCCTGGAGCGAATAGCGGGGTTAGAGCAAGAGGACCTGGTGGAGGCCCACGGCACCTTCTACACGTCGCACTGTGTCAGCCCCAGCTGCCGGCGCGAATACACGCTAAGCTGGATGAAAGGTGAGGCCGGAGGGCATCCTGAGGGCGGGCCTCCCCCCAGCAGCAGGAGCAGGGGCAGGGTCTCCATGCAGTGGGCACCCATTCTTCGAGTCCTGCTTAATGTTGACTGAATTGTAAACACTGTGTGTGGCTTTGACTACCATATTGGACAGTGTGGCAGGACCTATAGCATGAGAAGGTGGACCCAGGCCTGGTGAGGGTGAAGGCTGGGGCCATCCCTAAAGACTGCAGGGCCTGCTAGAGTCAGAATCCCTGTTCATGTAAGGACTGAATATATATATTTTTAAAAAATCAGCCAATCCACATTTCTTAATTGCCAGAGAGAGATGATTTCTGACACCCATTGTGCTCATTCAAAAGCCACTTACTCTGGCGAGGCTCAGTGGCTAACACCTGGAATCCCAGCACTTTGGGAGGCCCTGAGGCGGGTGGATCACCTGAAATCAGGAGTTCGAGACCAGCCTGGCTAACATGGTAAAACCCGTTTCTACTAAAAACGCACTAAAAATTAGCAAGGCATGGTGGCACGCGCCTGTAATCCCAGCTACCTGGGAGGCTGAGGCAGGAGAATCGCTTGAACCTGGGAGATGGAGATTGCAGTGAGCTGAGATTGTGCCACTGCACTCCAGCTTGGGCAACAAGAATAAAATTCCATCTCAAAAAACAAACAAACAAGAAGCCGCTTATTCCACTCATGGAAAGCCATTTCTGACATTCTTTATGCTGATTTAACAAAGCCACTGGTGTCCCTGTTGGATAAGGACAGCTGCAGCATTTGCAGAAGGGCCTCTGGAGTGCGGCTGTTCTGACAAAATGCCAGCTGAGTGCCCCTGGGCTGAGGAGTCCTGAATGGCCCAACTGCGGGCAGCTGGGGCAGTGTACAATTCACATTACCCCCGTTATGTGCCACTGACAGTGCCGTCACAGGCAGCACCCACGGTGTCATGCGGTCCACACAGAAACAGCTTAAAGACAATTCCCGACTACTGACATGGAAACAATGCTCTATAAATGTGTGCTGAATGAACGAATGGACAGTGGAGCAAGTGACTTAGAATTCAGTGGGTTGCAAGTGACAGAAATGCTTGCTGGCCTTTTTTTTTTTTTTTTTGAGATGGAGTCTTGCTCTATTGCCCAAAATAAAATAAAATAAAATAAGGCTGGGAATAGTGGCTCACACCTGTAATCCCAGCACTTTGTAAGGCCAAGGTTGGCAGATTTGCTTGAGCCCAGGAGTTTGAAACCAGCCTGGGCCACATGGCAAAACCGTGACTCTACAAAAAATACAAAATGTAGCCAGGCATGCCGGCACGCACCTGTAATCCCAGCTACTCAGGAGGCTGAGGCAGGAGGATCACTTGAAGCTGGGAGGTCGAGGCTACAGTGAGCCATGATTGTGCCACTGTACTCCAGCCTGGGCAACAGAGTGAGACCCTGTCTCAAAAAATAAAAGAGGTGTTTACTAAACAGAATGGACACCCGAGGAGATGTCCAAGTGACGGAGATGTGCTCATACAAGCGGTGGAGGGGGTGGGTGTGCTGGACCTCCAGACCCTGGACCAGAGCCTCTTACTGCTTTCTCTCTATTCCCCTTCTCCACACCCAGGGAAGATCTTCTCGGAGGTGACGCCCAAGTGTGAGGGCTGTCAGAGTGTGGTGAAGCCTGGTGAGCCTCGGGCCAGGGTCCTGTCCAGGTGGATTTGGGTGGGGGTCCCCTCCTTCCTCTGACCCCTTCCCAAAGGCCACACCCCCACACATCTGGCCACCTCTGTCTCTCTGAACAGTGCCCCAGATCCATCCTGGGGAGAGGGGAGTCTGTGTCTCTGGCCGGTCCCCGCTGCACCCAGCTCCCACCCCAGCCTCCGGGTCTGCCCCTGCCCCCTCCCGTCCTCTCTTCCTCCCCGTGTCACTGTCTCTGTTTCTGTCTTGGCCTCAGATATCATCTTTTTTGGTGAGAGCCTCCCAGCTCGTTTCTTCTCATGCATGCAGTCAGTAAGTGCCCACTGCACCGCCCTCCCTACCCCCAGCCCCCACCTCCTCCTGTGCTGGGCCCCTTGGGGGCAGCCTGAGCCCTGCCCAAGAAAGGTTGCCTCCCTGGCTGTGGAGGGGTGGAAGGAGGTTTGCTGCTGGGGGCGGAGGAGGGAGCGGTGGCTCAGCCTGGGCAGAGGCTCCCGACCTCACCCCTCCCCGCAGGACTTCCTGAAGGTGGACCTCCTCATCATCATGGGCACCTCCCTGCAGGTGCAGCCCTTTGCCTCCCTCATCAGCAAGTAGGTTGGGGGCTGCGGCTGGGAGGGTGGCTGGGCACCCAGGACCAGGACAGACCCTGATCTCTCAGCTCCCCTCCCACCAGGGCACCCCTCTCCACCCCGCGCCTGCTCATCAACAAGGAGAAAGTTGGCCAGGTAAGAGCCCTTCCTCACATCCCTTCCCTCCCACCAGCTTCCTCAAAGGGAACCCCTGCCGGGGAACCCCAGTTCTTTGGACTCCTCAGTTCAGACCCTGGGGCTCTAGAATCCAGAGGCATCGGGTTCCAGGCCTCTGGGACATCCACCACCCCTTTGAGCAAATGATTGAATTCCAACTCAAACCAGCTGAACCCAGAACAAGAAGGCCAGGCTTCCAGGGCCTGAGGAGGAGGAGGCGGTGGGGTGAGGGGAGGTGGTCTAAAAAAAAATACAAAGTCCTCCAGGTGCGGTGGCTCATGCCTGTAATCCCAGCACTTTGGGAGGCTGAGGTGGGTGGATCATCTGAGGTCAGAAGTTCGAGACCAGCCTGGCCAACATAGTGAAATCCTGTCTCTACTAAAAATATGAGAAAGTAGCTTGGTGTGGTGGCAAGATGCCTGTAATCCCAGCTACTCGGGAGGTTGACGCGGGAGGTTGAGGCAGGAGAATCAGTTGAATCCGGGAGGCGGAGGTTGCAGTGAGCCAAGATCTCACCATTACACTCCAGCCTGGGCAATAAGAGCAAAACTCCATCTAAAAAAAAAAAGAAAAAGTCTGTGCTCTCAGCTCTCTCTTCCCTACCCCACCCCACCCGCTCGATGGCAGCTGGACCCTTTCCTGGGGATGATGATGGGCGTTGGCGGAGGCATGGACTTTGACTCCAAGAAAGCCTACAGGTGAGGCCCCGCCTGGGGTCAGGGGCAGCCAGGAAGGGACAGGGTAGGTGGGAGGGAGGGCACAAGGCAGAAGAGAGGAGCAGGCAGGGGCGAGCCTGCCTGGGAACTCTGATCTCCTGTTGAACCGCAGGGACGTGGCCTGGCTGGGTGACTGTGAACAGGGCTGCCTGACCCTTGCTGAGCTCCTCGGATGGAAGGTGAGGAGCCAGGCGACCCCAGCCTGTCCTGAGGCCCGTCCCTAGACCCTCCCCCAGCCCCATCTGTCCTCTGACCCCATGATGCACAGTGACTTTTGACTTCTGTGACCTTTCCCCCTGCAGAAGGAGCTGGAGGACCTTGTCCGGAGGGAGCACGCCATCATAGATGCCCAGTCAGAGGCAGGGGCCCCCAACCCCAGCACTTCAGCTTCCCCCAGGAAGTCCCCACCACCTGCCAAGGAGGAGGCCAGGACGACAGAAAGGGAGAAACCCCAGTGACAGCTGCCACTCCCAGGCAGGATGTCCAGCCCCTCAGGGACAGCTGAGCCCCAACCAGGCCTGGCCCCCTCTTAACCTGCTGTTCTTGTCTGGGGAGCTCAGAACAACCTCCCTATCTCTTAACCACTCCCCCCTAGAACTGGGGTCCCAGCGACCCTGCCCTCCAACCCCAGCAAATCTAACACCTACTAGAGACCAAGGCTTGGACAGGCGTCTCTAGCAGCCCCACCATCTCTAACCACTCCACTAATCATTAACCACCCCCACGGGGCCAGGCCCACCCCAGACTTCTAACTCTTCAAGGACAGGGAGCTTCGGGCCCCCACTCTCTCTCCTGCCCCCAGGGGCCTGTGGCTAAGTAAACCAGACCTAACCTACCCCAACAGGGCTGTGGGCCTCTGAATGAAACCTACACCCAGCATAGGGGAGTCTGAGCCAGAGGGGCTCCCAAGTCTCTGCCTTCAACACCCAAAGTGGGTGGTGGGCCCCTTCACATGGGACCCACTTCCCATGCTGGGTGGCCACAAGACATTGCTTGTTGTAGACAAATTAAAAACAAAAACAACTAACAGTCCGGTCTGGCCTCTTGCTTCTTCTGCCGCAGCCAGGGAAATCGCTGAAGGGAGGGATTAGGTCTCAGGCCACTGAGAAACCAGAAAGTCTCCAGGCTCCAGAGTGAGGGGTGACAAAAGGGTCCTCACGGCGGCCCCTCATGGCTCTGACCCCTGGACTCCCAGCCTGCCAGTGTCCCTTCCTCTAAGCGTTGTCACTGAAAGCCTGAGCCCCCGAAAGAGGGAGGAAGGTTGACTTCAGATACCCCAGCCCCGCCTCTTCCCCTGCTCAGCTTCCTCTCTGCACTTCCTGCCACTGCAGGCTTCTCCTCCGAGAACAGGTAGGGCCCCCAGGGACCGAGCATCTGGCATCTTCAGCCCCTCTGCCTCCCTTTGGTATCAGGCAGCTGCCCCCCCACCAGCCCTGCCCAGCACCACCCACAGCCTCCTCCCCTGTCACCGTACCCAGGCAGGCATCTGCCTTGCTCTCCCCTCCTCTCCCCTCCTTCCTGCTGTGGCCTGGGCAGGGCACCTGCACCTCCCCGCCCCACCTCTCTCCTTCCTAATAACACCCTGGGCTTCTGGTCAATAGGCTAATTTATTTGTTTAGCTGCTAGTTATCCACATGCTACACTGTCCCAAACAAGAATGGAAGGCCCTGAGGGGAGGGGCCTGTCTTGTTCACCCTCTCTCCAGGGCACAGGCACATAATTCCCACCTGTATTCAATAGATATTGGTTGGATGGGAAGGAAGGAAGGAAGGAAAGATGGATGGATAGAAGGAAAGAAAAGGAGGCCGGGCGCGGTGGCTCACGCCTATAATCCCAGCACTTTGGGAGGCCGAGGCAGGTAGATCACAAAGTCAAGAGATCGAGACCATCCTGGTCAACAAGGTGAAACCCCGTCTCTACTAAAAATACAAAAATTAGCTGGGCCTGGCGGTGTGCACCTGTAGTCCCAGCTACTCGGGAGGCTGAGGCAGGAGAATTGCTTGAACCCAGAAGGTGGAGGTTGCGGTGAGCCGAGATCCGTGATACTGCACATCAGTCTGGGTAACAAGAGTGGAACTCTGTCTCAAAAAAAAAAAAAAAAAAAGAAGGAAAGAAAAGGAAAGGAAGGAAGGAAGGACAGATGGAAGGAAGGAAAAGCAGAAGGAAGGGAGGGAGGGAGGGTAGGTGGGTAGGTGGATGGAAGGAAAGACAGGATAGACGGATGGAAAGATGATGGATGGAAGGAAAGGAAGGAAGGGAGGGAGGGAGGAAGGAAGAGAAGGAGGGAGGGAGAGAGAGAGGGGTGAATGGGTGGGTGGGTGGAGAATGGATGGATCCTCCTCAGACCCAGGTGTCCTGCTCCTGGGACTGCTGCAGGGACAAGTGGCCACCCCAAGTGATAACCCACACAGGACTCTACCTGGGTAGGAGCTGGGCTCTGATGGGTGGATGGAGAGAGAGGGACAGATGTGCGATGAAGCAGGGTGAGTAACATGTTCATGCTAGCATCTCGGCAGTGGGCATATGGATGTTTTCTGTACAATTCTTTCAGCTTTTCTCTATTTCTGAAATGTTTCATAAAAAAGCGCTGGGGGAGGACATTCAATGGTCCCGCCTCGGTGTGGGAAGGGAGGAAGAGGGGATTGCATTTCCCTACAGATGCATGCACTGTCTACTGTGGGCCAATAACTTTTCCAGGCATTGGGTTTTGGCAAGGGCTGGTCCACATTCACACAGCTGCCGTAGCTGTTAAAATCTTCAAATATTCCCTATCACTTAATAAAGACCTGTTGTTTTGAGTCCTCTTCCCACACCCCAAGGCACACTGGCCTCTCTCCTGGGATCCACAGATTCCCCACCATCTGGAACTAAAGAATTAACCCTTGCCAGCCAGGCACAGTGGCTCATGCCTGTAATTCCAGCACTTTGGGAGGCCAAGGTGGATGGATCACCTAAGGTCAGGAATTGGAGACCAGCCTGGGTAACATGGCAAAAGCTCATTTCTACTAAAAATACAAAAATTAGCCAGGCATGGTGGTGCATGCTTGTTAATTCCAAATACTCGGGAGGCTGAGGCAGGAGAATGGCTTGAATCCAGGAGGAGGGGGTTGCAGTGAGCTAAGATCACGCCATTGCACTCCAGCTGGGGCAACAGAGCTAGAGTCCATCTCAAAAAAAAAAAAAAAAAAGCAGCAAGCGGCCTCTGGGATCCATTCCGACTGGCCAGGGTCTCTGATATTGATTGTAAATATCTCGAACACGACCCAGGGTCTGGAGCAGCCCTGAGAGTCCTATCTTCCTCCCTTCCAGAGGCCAGGCCATGACTCACTGGCTTCCTATATCCTGAGGATGGCCCAGAGAGAGGATGAGGCACCTGAGGTCCCCACAGATGGGGAGAGGTGAGGGCTACTGGGGCTGAGGCTGCACTCTCCTTCCGTCCAACACCTCCCTCACTACAGAACCCTGAACTGCTCTCTGAGCCTCTGCCTTGCCCTTTCCTGTACCTTTGACCTTACCTCCATGTCCCACTGCCCACCTCTGACCCCTGACCCCTTGGACACTGTCCATCCCAGGCTGGTCCCATCACAGGTGGACAAAGCAGACGGGACCCCTCTAGGGGTCCTCAGCACCCTAGAGCCACTTCTTCGCCTGCAGAGAACATGGGGGGTGTGGCATGTGCCAGAGCTGGATACCCAGGAGGCAGAGGCCCTCGTGGGGCTGTGGCCACTGGGGGTGAGTACTCACAGCTGGGGGCCCATCCTGACTCCCATGACACCCTAGATCAGGACTCTGCTGGTTACTAGTGACGAACACAAAACTGGTCGGAGCAAAAAGGCCGGGTGTGCCAGGTGTGATGGCTCATGCCTGCAGTCCCAGCTACTAAGGAGGCTGAGGTGGGAGGATCACTTGAGGTCAGCAGGTCGAGGCTGCAGTGCGCTGAGATCGCGCCACTGCACTCCAGCCTGGGTGACGGAGCAAGACCCTGTCTCAAACAAACAAATAAAAAAATACAAGTAGTTTCAAGAAGGACTAGCGCCTGGACTTCAGAACTTTTGTAAATTCCTCTGCATCCGATTTCTTGGCTTTGCTTTCAACTGCAGGGAATTTTGGATATTTGGGACCGAAAATAACAAACACGTGTCCTACAGCGGATTAAACAAACGAGCATTTTATCTTCCTAACATAACCAAAAAGGCGGCTTCTGGCTTTTGATCAGCAGCTCGATGACATGTAGGCCAGTATAGCTGTAATTCCCTTGGACTTCCCTCACAGCTGCCCTGGGGCTGCCCCAGACCCAAGCACCTGTGTGCATTCCAGGCAGGAAGGAAGGAGGCACCACTTGCATCTGTTTATTTCACAGGAAAAATAAAGGTTTTCACAACTGATTCAGAAAATAGAGATGGCTGACCAGGTGTGGTGACTCATGCCTGTAATCCCAGCACTTTGGGAGGTTGAGGTGGGAGGATCGCTTAAGGCTAGGAGTTCAAGACCAACCTGGGCAACACAGCAAGGCCCCATCTCTATTTTTTTTTAAAGTGGGGGCGGGCAGAGTGGCTCACCCTATAATCCCAGCACTTTGGGAGGCCAAGGTGGGTGGATTACGAGGTCAGGAGTTTGAGACCAGACTGGCCAACATGGCGAAATCCCACCTCTACTAAAAATACAAAAATTAGCCGGTCATGGTGGTGGGTGCCTGTAATCCCAGCACTTTCGGAGGCCAAGGAGGGCAGATCAGGAGGTCAGGAATTCAAGACCAGCCTGGCCAACATGGTAAAAATCCCATATCTACTAAAAATACAAAAATTAGCTGGGCATGGTAGCACGTGCCTGTAATCCCAGCTACTTGGGAGGCTGAGGCAGGGGAATCGCTTGAACGGGGACCCAAAAGGCAGAGGCTGCAGTGAGACCATGCTGAGACCGTGCCACTGCACTCCAACCTGGGCAACAGAGCAAGACTGTCTCAAAAAAAAAAAAAAAGAATCCTGTGGAAGATGTCCATTGGCTGAGCTTGAGTCACATGTCCCTTCCTGACCCAAACAGTGGGCAGAGAGCACAGTAATCCTACTGGCTAGATCAGGTCTTGGGCCTACCCCCACGGTTCAGGGGAAATCAGCCCCACCCACATGGTCTGACAGTAGGGAGTTTCCCTAAAGGAAATTTGGGGTGCAGAACCCAAAATAAGGGAAATAGATGCTAATCAGGTAAAAGTACGGCATCTGTGCACACCTTCGTCACGCCGGCCTTTGTCTCTATCCCCCAGAGTTTCTTGGTCACAGGACGTGACCTCAGCCAGGTCCTGGTGTTGAGGACAGGACCTTTACCAGGAGGAGTCAACACTTACCAGATCCAGAAGATTCCTGGAGGTAAGGCACGTTCCCTGAGTCTCCAGCCCACAGTCAATTGATAACTAAAAACTGTCAGCAAGACTGGCGGGGTGGCTCCCGCCCAGAATCCCAGCACTTTGGGAGGGTGAGGTGTGTGGATCGCTGGAGGCCAGGAGTTTGAGACCAGCCTGGACAACATAGTGAAACCCTGTCTCTCCTAAAAATATAAAAATTAGCCAGGCTTGGTGACGCACGCCTGTAATCACAGCTACTCGGGAGGCTGAAGCATGAGAATAGCTTGAACCCATGAGATGGAGGTTGCAGTGAATCCAGATTGCACCACTGCACTCCAGCCTTGGCGACAGAGGGAAACCCTGCCTGAAATAAAAAATAAAAACTGTCAGCTTTGCTTCCAAAGTATCTGATAAATATTCTTAACTGCCTCCTTTTCCTTTCTGAAATCCATTCTAAGCAGAACATATTTTAAAATATCAATCAGATGTTAAATACCCCTGCCTCAAACCCTGCAAAGAACATACAACATCCTTATATACAAATGCGAAGTCCTTGTCACGACCTGTGCGTGTGATCTAGCCCCTGCCTGTCTCTCCATCTATTGGCCCTCATTCTGAAGCAGGAAGGCCGGAGAACAAATCTCTCAAACACTGAACTGAGGAAGGAAGTGGCTTTTTATTCAGCCAGAAGCTGCAGGGGGCTACAGCCTCATTCACAGAGCTCCATAAGCTGCAGCTTCTCTCCCCTTTTATAGGCTTACAATGCTAAAGGGGAAACTGAGGTGGAACTATGTCATTGTCCATTTGCTGGACGTCCAACCTTACAATCTTTTGGCTTCATTTATTTGCTAATTCATGTGCAGTGCGAGCGGGGACCAGCAAGGGAGGGGGCTTACAGAGACAAGACCAAAGCAACAAGCTGCTTGTTGGCAGAGGTGTTTCCAGGAGGGAGCCTGGTCCCTGGAGATGTGGGGGTGTGACCCAGGGCCGAGCTCCAGACTGCAGGGATAACATTGATTTGTAGCTCTTTCAAGGTTAACAGATAGCAGAGACGCTGGGAACTAAAGAGGGAGTCATTTTCCCAGCTCTTTGGTATTTTATTTCATTTTTTTCCTTCTTCACCCTCCTTTCCATCTGGAAGAGCGGGAAGGAGGAAGTGAAATTGAAGGAGGCAAGGGGGTCTCCCCTCTCGATTCACTCTGCCCCTGACACACCCTTCTCCTCTGTGTGTCTTTAGCATGCTAAGTGTGTTCCAACTTCAGGACCTGCACTTGGGTTCTCCCTGCATGATGCCCCTCCTGGACGGGTTGCTGTAGCCTCCATCCTCCAGGCCTCTGCAGAAATGTAACCTTTCTTGACCATCATAGTTAAAAGATGGCCCCTTGGTCACTTTCTTTTTTTTTTTTTTTTTTTTTTTTAGACAAGGTCTCACTCTGTCACTCAGTCGAGAGTGCAGTGGCCCAGTCTCAATTCATTGCCACCTCTGCCTCCCAGGTTCAAGCAATTCTCACCCAGCCTCCCAAGTAGCTGGGATTACAGGTGCATACCACCACACACTACTAATTTTTTGCTTTGCTTTGTTGGGTTTTTTTATTCGTTGGCTTTTTGTTTTGGTGGGTTTTTTGTTGTTGTTTATTTGTTTTTGAGATGGAGTCTTGCTCTGTTACCAGGCTGGAGTGCAGTGGCACGATCTCAGCTCACCACAACCTCCGACTTCGTGGTTCAAGCGATTCTCCTGCCTTAGCCTCCCTAGTAGCTGGGATTACAGGCATGAGCCACCACGCCCAGCTGCTTTTTGTATTTTTAGTAGAGACAGGGTTTTACCACATTGACCAGGATGGTCTCGATCTCCTGACCTCGTGATCTGCCTACCTCAGCCTCCCAAAATGCTGGGATTATAGGTGTGAGCCACCATGCCCAGCCAATTTTTTGTATTTTTAAGAGACAGGGTTTTGCCATGTTGGCCAGGCTGGTCTCAAAGTCCTGACCTCAGGTGATCCACTCACCTCGGACTCCCAAAGTGCTGGGATTACAGACATGAGCCACCATGCCCAGCCCCTTGGTCACTTTGAATCAGCCCATTTCCTTTATGGCACTCAATATGATATCTACTTTGTTTACTCATTTTTTTTTTTTTGAGACAGAGTCTCACTTTGTGGCCCAAGCTGGGGTGAAGTGGTACAATCTTGGCTCACCTACTTCCCAGGTTCAAGCGATTCTCCTGCCTTCGCCTCCCAAGTATCTGAGATTACAGGTGTCCAGCACCACACTCAACTAATTTTTGTATTTTTATTTATTTGTTTTGTATGTTATATTATGTTATTTATTTATTTATTTATTTATTTATTTATTTATTTATTTTTTGAGACAGAGTCTTGCTCTGTTGCCCAGGCTGGAGTGCAATGGTGCAATCTCCATTCACTTCAACCTCTGCCTCCTGGGTTCAAGAGATTCTCCCACCTCAGCCTCCTGAGTAGCTGGGATTACAGGCACCCAACACCACCCACATCTGTCTAATTTTTTGTATTTTTAGTAGAGATGGGGTTTCAACATGTTGGCTAGGCTGGTCTCAAACTCCTGACCTCAGGTGATCCACCCACCTCGGCCTCCCAACGTGCTTGGATTACAGGCATGAGCCACCACGACCCGACTGTTTACTCATTTATATTCTGCCTTTCCCCCTCTGCCCTGCGCTAAAAGGTAAGCTACCAGAAGGCAGTGAACTTGGCTGCCTTTTGATAACTGTATCTCCAGTGCCTGGAAATGACTAAGGGCTCAGTAAGTGTTTGTCTAATTAATGAATCCTAGTCAATGGCATAAGTGGGATACAAGAGTAAAGATGAGATGGTCGGGCGCGGTGGCTCATGCCTGTAATCCCAGCACTTTGGGAGGCTAAGGTGGGTTGATGATGAGGTCAGGAGTTTGAGACCAGCCTGCCCAACATGGTGAAACCCCGTCTCTACTAAAAATGCAAAAATTAGCTGGGCATGGTGGTGCACGCCTGTAATCCCAGATACTCGGGAGGCTGAGGCAGGAGAATTGCTTGAACCGAGGAGGCAGAGGTTTCGGTGAGCCAAGATCGTGCCATTGTACTCCAGTCTGGGTAACAACAGTGAAACTCCGTCTCAAAAAAAAAAAAAAAAAGAAACAAAAATTGCCGGGCACGGTGGCGCGTGCCTGTAGTCCCCATCTCTACTAAAAATACAAAAATTGCCAGGCACAGTGGCACGTGCCTGTAGCTACTTGGGAGGCTGAGGTGGGAGGATCGCTTGAGTCCAGGAGTTTTGGGCTGTAGTGCACTATGCCAATCGGGTGTCCACACTAAGTTCGGCATCAATATGGTGACCTCCGAGGAGCAGGGGACCACCAGGTTGCCTAAGGAGGGGTGAACGGGCCCAGGTCGGAAACGGAGCAGGTCAAAACTCCCATGCTGATCAGTAGTGGGATCGCGCCTGTGAACAGCCACTGCACTCCAGCCTGGGTAACATAGCGAGACCCCTTCTCTTAAAAAAAAAAAAAAAAAGGAAAAAAAAAACCAAAAATTAGCTGGCCATGGTGGTGGGCGCTTGTAATCCCAGCTACCCAGGAGGCTGAGGCAGGAGAATCACTTGAACTCAGAAAGCAGAGGTTGTAGTGAGCTGAGATTGCACCATTGCACTCCAGCCTGGGCGACAGAGCTAGACTACATCTCAAAAAAAAGAGCAAAGATAGGGACTCAGAGTAGTGGGAACTTCCCTCTTCTGAAGGTCCCTGGGGAGATTCCGAAGGAATGGGGGACCAAGATAGTCCCAGGAAACAGAAGACTTTACCACTCAAGTTTACTTTCTCCTTCTTCCTCCCCCGACCCCAGGTGTGACCCTGGAATCCTCCAACCTCTGCATGCCAGACCTGCCCCATCTCCTGGCCTTTCTATCAGCCAGCAGGTACAGGTCACCTATCCAAGGCACTAAAGGGGACCTTTCCCTAAGACACCCCACTGACACTGTGGCTCCCACCTCTCTGTTCTCAGGGATGTTCTGCCCAGAACCCTACTCCTGCCCCCTCCCACTCTAGGGCCTGGAGATGAACACAGAGGTGAGGCATGGTTCTCCAAAGGAGGGCACAGCCAACCTGCCAATTTCCTTGCTCCAAGGAAATGAACGGGGCTTTGGGACCCAGACTACTGGGTTTGAGGGAAATATAGAACTGGGAGCTAGAGAGAGCTGGGGGCCTGGACTTTGTAGTCCCAGAGGGAGGAGGGGATGAAGGCATGTATTCCTGGGTCCTAACAGAGGAGGGGATTGGAGGAGGAGGGAACTGGGGGGCCCGGACTCCTGGGCCTAAGTGAGGAGGGGATTGGGGGCCTGGACTTCTGGGTCTGAGTGAGGAAGGGCCAGGAGCGAAGCCTTAGCACCTCCAGCAATGAAGGTGGAAAGTAAGTCTCCTGGTGCCCTGAAGGGACCAGTGTTGGTCTCTCAGATACCCAGGACACCTTCTCACTTCTGCTGTCCCCAGATCCTCTGCAGATCGGCGGCATCCAACAGGACACCCCAGGGAAGGTGCTTTCCATTATGAACCAACTCTACCTGGAGACCCAAAGAGGCTGGGGGAAGGAGCAGACCCCCCAAGAAATAGAGCCAGAGGCTTCCCAGAGATATGATCCAGGTTAGCTGGGGGGGGGAGGGGGGGCTGGGCCTCTGAGGGAGGAGGGAGCTGCTGCCCCTGCTCTAGGGGACCCAAAGCCCTCTTCACATCCAGCCCCCAGGAACCCTGCGCCTCACGGAGTCTCCTGGGTGAAAGGCCCGCTCAGCCCAGAAGTGGGCCATCCTGGGCCGGCTCTTGCCAGCCTCCTGGAGGAAGAGGAAGACCCTGAAGGAAGGGAGGAAGAAAGGAAGGACAACCCTGAAGAGGAAGGCCCCGAGGACATGCTCACCATTCACATCCAAGCTCTGGTCAGGGCTCGGAGTAGCTACGTGGCCAGGAAGTACCGAAGTCTTCGGTTGCGCATAGCCTCGGATTTGGGGGGTCCCCACAGGCCTGGGGACCCGGCCACAGAGCTGCTTCAGGATGTGCGGCAGCTCCTTATTGACCTTCAGGATCACCTGGCAAAGGACCCCTACATCCAGGCTGTCTCTGGGAGCAAGGGTCCTGGAGTCTCCAAGAAGGATGAAGATCCAGGTAATGCGAGGATGGGAAGGGAGTGCCCATGGGTTCAAGTGTGCGATGTTGTTCTCTCCATCGACGCGCACACACATTTCTTTCTGCACCCACATGCCCTTCCTACACATCCCATGCGTTCTATCGCCCCCGTGTGACAGCCATACTCCCTTGTCCCGCGCGCAAGTTCACACCCGGGGTCACTCTTCCACACGTGTTCACACCCAGGTCTACACTTGCAGGGGACCAGAGCTAGGCAGGGGAAGTAGTGTGCCAAGGGGGGTTGGTGGAGCGCGTGGGTGGACGCGGGGCAACTTGGCAGCCCTGCGCTCACCCGTCCCCCACCGCCTCGCAGGCCCTGCGCTGGAGACGGCCGTGTGCCAGGCGGTGCTGGAGCCCCTGAAACCGGCGCTGTGGACGCGCCTCCGCACGCTCCGAGCGCCAGAGCTGCGGCGGCTGCGGAGGCGACAAACAGCCCTGCGGGCGGGGGCGGGGCCTCCGGGAGCACAGGGGGCGGGGCCTGAGGGTCAGGGCCCCGCCCCCGCCTTGCGGAGCCGCATCCACGCGCGCCTTGCGCACCTCCACGCCGCCTGCGCCCCGCGCCGCAAGGTGGCGCTCCTGTTGGAGGTGTGCGAAAATATCTACGAGGGTCTGGCTCAGGGCGAGAACCAAGGTAAGGGAGGGGTCAACGTGTAGCGTGGTGGAGAGCGGCTTGAGGGTTAGGGGAGCCGGGCGGGAGGCGAGTGTGCAGGCGCACGTCGAGGGAGAGCGCAGCATTGGTGGGAAGCGTCTGCGCGGTCCTGGGGATTCTGGCAGGAGGCGCTGTCGTGCCTCACAAGGTGAAGGGGCAGCGGGCCCTCGTGGTCCTGGGGATCGGATGGAAGGTGTCTGTGCGCCCCCATCCATCTCAGGACCTTTCCTTGGGCTTTTCCAGATCCCCTGGGGGCCGACGCCTTCCTGCCGGCGCTGACAGAGGAACTCATCTGGAGCCCGGACATTGGGGAGACGCAGCTGGACGTGGAGTTTCTTATGGAGCTCTTGGATCCAGACGAGCTGCGGGGAGAGGGTGAGCCCCCAACTCCAGAATGCTGGAACCCAACGATCCAGAGCCTCCGGGATCCCAAACAGCCTCCCCTCTGCAGCAGGAGGGACAGCAGGCAAACTGCAGGGGGATTTGGGACGACCAGGGAAGCCGAGAGGGCCGAGCTGACCTCCCTTTCCTATCCCCAGCCGGGTACTACCTGACCACGTGGTTTGGGGCGCTGCACCACATTGCCCACTACCAGCCCGAAACGGACCGCGCGCCCCGGGGGCTCAGCTCCGAGGCCCGCGCCTCCCTGCACCAGTGGCACCGCAGGCGGACGCTGCATAGAAAGGAACATCCCAGAGCCCAGGTGACTACCCTTCCGGCGGCAGGTGGAAGGGAGGGTGAGACCTGGTGCCCTTCTCAGGCAGCTCCAACCTCTCCCTACAGGCCAACCTCCCCTTTAAGGAGCCGTGGGCAGAAGAGACTGTGCCAGGGACCAATCACGACTAGGGGTTCCACACCCCTCCTCACACCCCGCCGTTCACGTCTGTAATCCCAACACTTTGGGAGGCCAAGGTGGGAGGATCGCTTGAGCCCAGGAGTTTGAGACCGGCCTGGGCAAAATAGTGGGACCCCGACTCTACCAAAAAAATAAAGAAAAATTAGCCAGTCTTGGTGGCACACTCCTGTGCTTTGCAGTTTTACAGAGGGGTGTCAGAGAAACCCTCATTGAGGTAACATCTGCAGAAGGCCTGAAGGAAGGAAGGGGAAGAGCAGTGATACTAGGAAGAGCATTCCAGGAAGTAGGATGAGCCCGTGCAAAGGCCCAGAGGTGGGCTGTTCCCTTTTTCCTGGAATCCCTCCCTCCTCCTTGTTGCTCCTAAACCACATGGGTTAGGAGTCTGGACTGACCCAGGTGCGCCTGGCATCTTGCTTGAGGAACGGGGGTGTTTTGTTTTGTTTTTGAAAGGTCCCGGCTGGGTGTGGTGGCTCACCCCTGTAATCCCAGCACTTTGGGAGGCAGAGGCGGGCAGATCAAAAGTCAAGAGTTTGAGACCAGCCTGACCAACATGGTGAAAACCCATTTCTATTAAAAATACAGGGCCGGGCACGGTGGCTCACGCCTATAATCCCATCACTTTGGGAGGCTGAGACAGGTGGATCACGAGGTCAAGAGATCAAGACCATCCTGGTCAACAAGGTGAAACCCCATCTCTACTACAAATACAAAAAAATTAGCTGGGCATGGTGGTGCATGCCTGTAGTCCCACCTACTCGGGAGGCTGAGGCAGGAGAATTGCTTGAACCCAGGTGGAGGTTGCAGTGAGCTGAGATCGTGCCATTGCACTCCAGTCTGGGTAACAACAGTGAAATTCCGTCTCAAAAAAAAAAAAATTAGCCAGGTGTGGTGGGAAGTACCTGTAATACCAGCTACTCAGGAGGCTGAGGCAGAAGAATCCCTTGAACCCGGGAGGTGGAGGTTGCAGTGAACCAAGATTGTGCCACTGCACTCCAGCCTGGACCAGAGAGCAAGACTCCATCTGAAAACAAAACAAAAGAAGAAGAAGAAGAAGGTCTCTCTCTGTCGCCCAGGCTGGAGTGCAGTGGCATGATTTCAGCTCACTGCAGCCTTAACCTCCTAGGCTCAAGCAGTCCCCCTGCCTCTACCTACCAAATAGCTGAGACTACAGGCACCTACTACCATGCCTAATTTTTAACATTTTTGTAAAGATGGGAGTCTCTGTTTGTTACCCAGGCCGGTCTCAAACTCGTAACCTCAAGCAGTCCTCCCACCTCGGCCTCCCACAGTGCTGGGATTACAGGTGTGAGCTGCCGCACCCAGTCCTGATTTTCTTTTTTCCCAAATAGTGCATCATTTCCTAACATCCCATGCATTTATGTATTTCATTGTTCATAGTAGCTACAATTTTTTTTTCTTTTTTTTTGAGACGGAGTTTCGCTCTTGTTACCCAGGCTGGAGTGCAATGGCGCAATCTCGGCTCACTGCAACCTCCACCTCCTGGGTTCAGGCAATTCTCCTGCCTCAGCCTCCGAGTAGCTGGGATTACAGGCACGCGCCACCATGCCCAGCTAATTTTTTGTATTTTTAGTAGAGATGGGGTTTCACCATGTTGACCAGGATGGTCTCGATCTCTTGACCTCGTGATCCACCCGCCTCGGCCTCCCGAAGTGCTGGGATTACAGGCGTGAGCCACCGTGCCCGGCCAGTAGCTACAATTTAAACAACTAAAAAGAAACAAGTGAAGTTAACATGAATTACAATATGTCTGATTTAACCCAATGTATCCCAAATATTATCACTTGAACAAGTATCCATATTAAAAAGTTACTAAAATATCTAAAACTTTCTGTGTTTGTGTATGTGTATAGTAAAGCTTTAAAATTTACTGGCCTGTAATCCCAGCATTTTGGAGGCCAAGGTGGCCCAATCACCTGAGGTCGGGAGTTCAAGACCAGCCTGACCAACATGGTGAAACCCCATCTTTAAATAAAAAGAAGGAAAGAAATTTACTGTGTATTTTACACTGAATCACATCACAGTCTGGACTAGTCACATCATTTCTTTTCTTTTTCTTTTTCATTTTTCTTTTTCTTTTTTTTTTTTTTTTGAGATGCAGTTTCATTCTTGTTGTCCAGACTGGCATGCAGTGGCACGATCTTGGCTCATGGCAACCTCCTCCTCCCTGGTTCAGGTGATTCTCCTGCCTCGGCCTACCGGGTAGCTGGGATGACAGACATGTGCCACTATGCCCCGTTAATTTTGTGTTTTTAGTAGAGACGAGGTTTCTCCGTGTTGGTCAGGCTGGTCTCGAACTTCTGACCTCAGGTGATCCACCTGCTTTGGCGTCCCAAAGTGTTGGGATTACAAGCATGAGTCACTGCACCCAGCCTGGACTAGTCACATTTCAAGTGCTCACTAGCTACACAAGGTTTCGAGCTACCCTTTTGGACAGCACAGCCTTGGAATGTCAGTTCTGGGAGATTGGGGATCTCTGTTTTGTCTATAGCTGTGTCTTCCTGAGTGCCTAGACCGGTACCTGGTACACAGTTATAAATACTTGCTGGATGAATGAGTGAACAAAGCTCTGTAGTAGGCTGGAAAACAGGTCCCAAAAGACACCTGTGTTTTACTCTCTAAAATCCACTACTGTTACTTAATTTTTTAAAATTTTTATTTTGACATGCTATTTTGACAAATGTTTCTTTCCTTCTTTCTCTTCCTTCCTTCTTTTCTTTTCTTTTCTAGACTGAGTCTCACTCTGTTGCCCAGGCTGGAGTGTAGTGGTGTGATCTTGGTTCACTGCAACCTCCGCTTCCCAGGTTCAAGTGATTCTCCTGCCTCAGCCTCCCAGGTAGCTGGGATTACAAGTGGTCCATCCTCCTAGGCCTCAAAAAGTGCTGGAATTACAGGCGAGAGCCACTGTGTCCCGCCCCTTACTTTATCTGGAAATGCTCTTTGCAGATGTTATTAAGAATCGTTTTCTTTTTTTTGAGACGGAGTCTAGCTCTGTTGCCCAGGCTGAAGTGAAGTGGTACAATATCTGCTTGGATTCAAGTGATTCTCCTGCCTCAGCCTCCCAAGTAGCTGAGATTACAAGCACATGCTGACACTGCACCTGGCTAATTTTTTTTTTTTTTTTTTTTTGAGATGGAGTTTCGCTCTTGTAGCCCAGGCTGGAGTACAATAGTGTGATCTCAGCTCACCACAACCTCCACCTCCCGAGTTCAAGCGATTCTCCTGCCTCAGCCTCCTGAGCAGCTGGGATTATAGGCAAGCACCACCACACATGGCTAATTTTGTATTTTTAGTAGAGATGGGGTTTCACCATGTTGATCAGGCTGGTCTTGAACACCTGACCTCAAGTGATCCGCCCACCTTGGCCTCCCAAAGTGCTGGGATTACAGGTGTGAACTACTGCACCCAGCATTTCTTTTTTTGAGACAGAATCTCGCTCTGTTACTCAGGCTACAGTCCAGTGGTGCAAACTTCGCTCACTGCAATCTCTACCTCCTAGGTTCATGTGATTCTCCTGCCTCAGACTTCCAATTAGCTGGGATTACAGGCAAGTGACACCACGCCCAGCAAATTTTTATATTTTTAGTGGAGACAGGGTTTTGCCATGTGAGCCAGGCTGCTCTACAAACGCCTAGCCTCACGTGATCTGCCAGCCTCTTTCTCCCAAAGTGCTGGGATAACAGGCATGAGACACCAAGCCTGGCATAATTTAAGAATATTAAAGTGGGAGGCTGGGTGAGGTAGCTCACGCCTGTAATCCCAGCACTTTGGGAGTCCGAGGCGGGCGGATCGCTTGAAGTCACCATTGTTTTTGAAAGCCAAAAGATGGCCAGGCGCGGTGGCTCAAGCCTGTCATCCCAGCACTTTGGGAGGCCGAGGCGGGTGGATCACGAGGTCAAGAGATCGAGACCATCCTGGTCAACATGGTGAAACCCCGTCTCTATTAAAAATACAAAAAATTAGCTGGGCATGGTGGCACGTGCCTGTAATCCCAGCTACTCAGGAGTCTGAGGCAGGAGAATTGCCTGAACCCAGGAGGCGGAGGTTGCGGTGAGCCGAGATCTCGCCATTGCACTCCAGCCTGGGTAACAAGAGCGAAACTCCGCCTCAAAAAAAAAAAAAAAACCAAAAGCTTGAGACTGGCTGTGCTGGACATCAAAGCAAGAAGTATTGGGGGACTGCAGGATGTGGCCCCGATCTTATCTTCCTCCAGAACAGAGTTGGCAGCCAGACCCCAGCAGACCACAGGGAATCCGTCTCCTCCTTCAGGGAATAGCAGCAGTCTCGGGGGCAAAGAATTTCACTGCATTGATTTATTTATGTGTTTATGTATGTGTTTTTTATTTCTTTCTAAATTGTGGTTAGAAAAAATAAAATAATAAAATAAAATTGGCTAGGTGTAGTGGCCAAGTAATCCCAGTACTTTGGGAGGCAGAGGCCAGAGAATCACTTGAGCTCAGGAACTTGAGACCAGCCTGGCCAACATGGTGAAACCCTGTCTATATTGAAAATGCAAAAATTAGCCTGACTTGGTGGCTTGTATTTATAATCCCAGCTACTTGGGAGGCTGAGCGGGGAGGATCACTTGAACCTGGGAGGCAGAGATTGCAGTGAGCCGAGATCGAGCCATCACACTCCAGCCCGGGCAATAAGAGTGAAACTCTGTCTCAAAAAACGAAAACAGCCAGGTGAGGTGGCTCACACCTGTAATCTCAACACTTTGGAAGGCCGGGACAGTTGGATCACCTGAGGTCAGGAGTTCAAGACCAGCCTAACATGGTGAAACCTGTCTCCACTAAAAATACAAAAATTAGCCAGGCATGGTGGCGCGTTTCTGTAATCCCAGCTGCATGAGAGTCTGAAGTAGGAGAATCACTTGAACCCGGAAGTCAGAAGTTGCAGTTAGCAGATTGCAGTGAGCCGAGATCACGCCATTGCCCTCCAGCCTAGGCAACAAGAGAGAAACTCCGTCTCGAAATAAATAAATAAATAAATAGCTGGGCATGATAGCTCATGCCCGTAATCCCAGCACTTTGGGAGGCTGAGGTTGGTGGATCATCTGAGGTCAGAAATTTGAGACCAGCCTGGCCAACATGGTGAAAACCCTCTCTACTAAAAATACAAAAATTAGCTGGGCGTGGTAGTGAGCACCTGTAATCCCAGCTACTCTGAGATTGAGGCAGGAGAATCACTTGAACCTGGGAGACAGAGGTAGCAGTGAGCTGAGATCACGCCACTGCACTCCAGCTGGGTGACGAGAGCTAAACCCTATCTCAATAAATAAATAAATAAATAAATAAAAGTAAAATAAAATAAATTTTTATCAATTCTTTGTTATAAAAAACAGAAGACATACATTTTATCCTCAACTACTTTTAATTGTACGGTTCGCTGGGCGCAGTGTCTCAAGCCTGTAATCCCAGCACTTTGGGAGGCCGAGGCGGGTGGATCACGAGGTCAAGAGATCGAGATCTCTTTCACATGGTGAAACCCCGTCTCTACTAAAAATACATGGGCATGGTGGCACGTGCCTGTAGTCCCAGCTACTCAGGAGGCTGAGGCAGGAGAATTGCCTGAACACAGGAGGCGGAGGTTGCGGTGAGCCGAGATCGCGCCATTGCACTCCAGCCTGGGTAACAAGAGCGAAACTCCATCTCAAAAAAAAAATTGTACGGTTCACTAGTGTTCACCTTACTCACATTGTTGTGTAACAGATCTCTAGAACGTTCTCATCCTGCAGAACTGAAACCTTCTAACCATCAAACAGACCCCCCACTTCCCGCTTCCTTGAGCCCCTGGAAACCACCTGTCTGCTTTCTGTTTCCATTATTTTGACTACCCCAGATATCTCATATAAGTGCAATCATACAGTATTTGTCCTTTGTGACTGGTCCATTTCACTCGGTCTATAAACTGTCTTCCAGGTTCATCCATGTTGTAGCATGTGACAAGATTTTCTTCATCTTATTTTATTTTTATTTTATTTTATTTATTTATTGAGACAAAGTCTTGCGCTGTTGCCCAGGCTGGAGTGCAGTGGTGCAATCTCAGCTCACTGCAACCTCTAGCTTCCGGGTTCAAAAGATTCTCCTGCCTCAGTCTCCTAAGTAGCTGCGATCACAGGTGTGTGCATCACCATGCCCGGATAATTTTCTTTTGTTAGAGGCAGGATTTCACCATTCTGGCCAGGCTGGTCTCAAACTTCTGACCTCAAGCGATCCACCCTCTTCAGCCTCCCAAAGTGCTGGGATTATAGGCATGAGCCACCACACCCTTTTTGAGACACAGTCTTGCTCTGTTACCTTCCCTGAAGTGCAGTGGCATGATCTCTGCTCGTTACAGCCCTGACTTCCCGTGCTCTGGCAATCGTCCCATCTCAGCCTCACAAGTAGCTGGGAACACAGGTACGTGCCACCATGCCCACCTAATTTTTGTATTTTTGGTAGAGGTGAGGTTTCGCCATGTAGTCCAGGCTGCTCTTGAGCTCAAGCGATCCTCCTACCTTGGCCTCTCAAAGTGCTGGATTACAGGAGGGAGCCACTGTGCCCAGTGGTGGGTGGTCTTCTTTCCTTTCTTCTTTCCTCTTCTTCTTCTCCCCCTCCCTATCCTCCCCACTTCTCCCTCTCCAACTCCTCCTCCTCCCCCTCCCCCTCCTCCTCCCCTTCCTTCTTCTCCTCCCCATCCTCCTCCCCTCCTCTTCTCTTCCTCTTCCTCCTCCCCCTCACCTTCTTTTTCTCCTTCCCCCTCCTCCTCCCTCTCCTCTCTTCTTTTTCTCCTCCTCCTCCTCTTCTTCTTTTTTGAGACGGAGACTCACTCTGTCCCCCAGGCTGGAGTGCAGTGGCACAATCTTGGCTCACTGCAACCTCCACCTCCTGGGTTCAAGCAATTCTCCTGCCCTAGCCTCCTGAGTAGCTGGGAATACAGAGGCCCACCACCATGCCCAGCTAATTTTGTATTTTTACTAGATCATTTGAGGTCAGGAGTTGGAGACCAGCCTGGCCAACATGATGAAACCCCATCTCTACTAATAATACAAAAATTAGTTGGGTGTGGTGGCAGATGCCTGTAGTTCCAGCTACTCTGGAGGCTGAGCGACAAGAATTGCTTGAACCGGGGAGGCAGAGGTTGCAGTGAGCCGAGATCACGGCCCACTGTTGCAGTGGGTAACAGATCATACACTTGGGGAGGCCAAGGCTTAAGCTCAGGAGGTTGAGGCTTCAGTGAGCCGTGATCTCACCACTGCACTCCAGCCTGTGCAACAGAGCGAGACCCTGTCTCAAAAATAAATAAATAAATACAAAATAATAATTAGATTGAATGAATAAAGCCAGATATGAAATAATACATACTACAGAATTTCATTCCAGAAAATGCAAACAGATTTACTGTGGCAGAAATCAGAGTGGGGCTGTCTGGGGCTGTGTGCGTGTGTTGGTGAAAGAGAAGAGAGATGGAACTTGGCTTTGGCTCACACCTACCACAGCATTCTTTCATGCTGTTCCCACTGGTCACAAAACCCACACCACCACCTTACTGCCAATGGTTCTTTTACTTAAGGAATTTCAGGAACTGGCTGGGCACAGTGGCCCACGCCTGTAATCCTACACATTTTGGGAGGCTGAGGCGGGTGGATCACCTGAGGTCAGGAGTTCAAGACCAGCCTGGCCAACAAGGTGAAACCCCATCTCTACTATAAATACAAAAATTACAGGGCATGGTGGTGGGCACCTGTAGTCCCAGCTACTCGGGAGGCTGAGGCAGGAGAATCACTTAAACCCGGGAGGCAGAGGCTGCAGTGAGCCAAGATCACACCACTGCACTCCAGCCTAGGCAAACAGAGCAAGACACTGTCTCAAAAAAAAAAAAAAAAAAAAAAATTTCGGGAACTGGCCTTAGATGGTGAAAGGATGTGTGTCCCAACTCCGGAAGGAAAGCTGAACAATTGATTTACAGCCTTGTTGCACCTGCCGAACACCACGTGGTCCATTACTCAAGATAGCCATTGTGGCCAGACAGCGCCGACCTGCATGCCCTTTCACATGCTTTGCCCACCCCAGCCCGTATACCCTCCTGCTAATGTCAATTTATGAGCTTTGTCTAATAAAAAAGCCCCACTGGCTCCTTTTCCAGAGTCAGCCAGTGAATTCCTTCCCTTTCTCTTGTGCTGTCTCCCTCAAACCCAGGCATAAACTCCCATTAAGTCTCCTCTGGGAAAACTCTTTTGACCTCAAGTCAGTTTCAGTTTACTGCTAGGTATATAGGTGCATTCAGATCCCAAGAACTTGTAGTCTGTCACACCGGGTGGAGGACACTGAAAAATAGAGGGCTTACAAGGAGGCTCAAGAAAACCTCTGCAGGTGTGGTGGTTCATACCCATCTAGTGCTTTGGGAGGCAGAGGCAGGTGGATCACTTTTCAGGAGTTCAAGACCAGCCTGGGTAACATGTTGAAACTGTCTCTACTAAAAACATAAAATTAGCAGCCAGACGATGTGGCTCATGCCTATAATCCCAACATTTTGGGAAGCCGAGGCAGCCAGATCACCTGAGGTCAAGAGTTCAAGACCAGCCTGATCAACATGGAGAACCCCCCCATCTCTACTAAAAATACAAAAAAAATTAGCTGGGCATGCTGACACATGCCTGTAATCCCAGCTACTTGGAGTCTGAGGCAGGAAAATTGCTTGAACCCAGGAGGTGGCGGTTGCAATGAGCTGAGATTGTGCCACTGCACTCCAGCCTGGGCAACAGAGCGAGAGTCTGTCTCAAAAAGAAAACAAAACAGCCAGGCACGGTGGGTCACACCTGTAATCCCAGCACTTTGGGAGGCCGAAGCAGGCAGATCACCTGAGGTCAGGAGTTCGAGGACAGCCCGGTCAACATGGTGAAATCCTGTCTCAAAAAAATAAGAAAAAAATTAGCTGGGTGTGCTGATGCACATCTGTAATCCCAACTACTCGGGAGGCTGAGGCAGGAAAATCGCTTGAACTTGGGAGGTTGCAGTGAACCGAGATCATGCCACTGCACTCCAGCCTGGGCAACAGAGCAAGATTCCGTCTGAAAAACGAAAATAAAACTTCTGTGGGTGTGGTAGTTCCCTTCTCTAATCCCCATAATTTGGGAGGCTGAGGCAGGAGAATTGCCTGAGGCCCAGAGTTTGAGATCAGCCTGGGCAACATAGCAAGACCCTGTTTCGACCAAGAAAAAATATATATAAAATGGCTAAGGGTTGGCAGGAAGCTGTAGTCCCAGTTACTTGGGAGGCTCAAGTGGGAGGATCCTTGGAGCCAGCAGTTGTAAGCCACAGCAAGCTATAATCACACCACTGCACTCTAGCCGG